AGATTGAGAGCACAAGGAGAAGGGGACGACAGAGGACGAGATGGTTGGACAGTATTCTCGAAGCTACTAACGTGAGTTTGACCAAACTGCGGGAGGCAGTGGAAGACAGAAGTGCCTGGTGTGCTCTGGTCCATGGGGTCACGAAGAGTCGGACACAACTAAACGACTAAACAACAACAACAAGGTAGTGGTTACTCTGAATGCTAAAAAAATGTGTTGGCAGAGCCTCAGATAAAAAGAGTCTGCAGGGCCGGCCAAGCCAACACAGAATGACCCCCATACAAATGTTATTTTTTAATAAGTTCGTGTTTTTTCATGAGCTGCTTTGGGCACAGTTTTTACTGAGAAAAAGCAGAGAGTGAATGGTTGGTTTGGTTGCCACCTGTCTGTCTTGGGAGACAATGCAGGAGTATGCTTTTGGGAGTGACGTCAAACTGTCGGAAGGTTGCAGCGCCTGCTGTGGCTGTAGAGAGCAATATGGGAGATACATGTTTTGTTGCAGGTGGGGCAGGTGAAGGCGTCCAGTTGTGCTGCTGTAGATGCACCACAGCGCTTCTTCTCTCTGTGCTCCTCCCAGCAGTCATTCCTCCTCTGGTCACTGCTGTGGATGCACAACCTGACTATCTGCCTCCAGGCACTGTGGTTGTCTGCAAGGAATTCACACATGACGGGGTTGATGTTGCTAGCCTTCATGAGTGAATGACCAAATAAATAAAATAAACAGCTCCCATCTTTCCTCCGCCTCCTCCCCACTCACCTTCCAGGACCTCAACTGAACTCCTAGGGAATCCACCTTGTCCTTGCTGCCTCAAGCCCTCAAGTACTGCCTCTCATCCAAACCAAATTCCTGCTTCCTTCCCAGACAACACCTACCTCCCATTTCTTCCCCAATTCCCTCATCATCAGAAACATGACTGTTGCCTGGCAACGAATATGGTGTTTTCCATCAGCTTCAGTCTTGGGGCTTCCCTGGCAGGGGACACAGTGTTTGACATCTGAATTTGTATATTCCCCATCGCATGTTATTCTGCCCACCCTCCCTTTCCCTTGTCTTTTTTAGAGCTCCTGTGCCCCATTGCACAGAAAGTCCTTGATGCTCTTTAGTTTGGATCAGTTCCTTAAAAAAACAGTGCCAATAATATTATACGAAGTCACTTATTTTGTCTCCAAGGATTAGGAATTTGATGCTTTTGAACTTCTGAAGCCACCTCTGTGTTTTGCTTATGGTCGCCTTATAGGGAAGGTGTGAGTCTGCTTAGCTCCTTTGAGACTGGACACCAGGTCTGGCTCTTGTCATTGCTTTGAGATCAGGTTGACATGAACTAGTTATACCCGGGGCTGAATTACCCTTCCTGCAATTGCAGCAGGTTTTTAAGGACACTGTGAATGCACTGATATCGAGCAATTTGGCAGGCAGTCTCAAGCAAATTGTTCCCTCTGATCTCCTGACCTAAAATGCCCAGGAAGGAGAGAGAGAGAGAGAGAGAGAGAGAGAGAGAGAGAGAGAGAAACGTAACTGAGTGCAATGCTAGGCACTCAGTGAAGTTACAGCATTGTAACATATGTATCTCAGAAAATGAAACCATCCAAGTCCTATTCTTGGGGTCTTTCTGTGCAATCAGACAAAATGGCCCCCGCTGGAACACTTTCAAACCTCAATCCAGTCAAGCAATATTAGTGCAATGTCTCAGCTACATTGAAAAGATTCAGAGACTGGATGGAACAGAGGGAAATCCTCACATTAGTAGTAGTAGAAGTACGGTAGTTGTTTAGTATATAGACCATTAAATGCCCAAATAGACTTCTAAGCAGTTTACAAAATATAACAACCAATTACACAACATTATTTAAATACATCATAATTAAAAATACACAATAAAATAATCAACTTGAAACATTAAAACATAAATGTCCATAGTTAAAATATGCAGTAAAACAATCCCATTAAAACACAGTGATTAAAACAGGTCAAGGGATCAAGGGAATTATTGTTGCTGTTAAATTTATATACCGTCAAATGCCAAAATAGGCTTCTAAGTTGTTTATGAAATATAAAAGCCAATTACACAACATTATTAAAATACACAATAATTAAACACGCACACGCCCATTTCTTTAAAACATAGCTTCATATGTGCTCTAGCAAAAGAAGCAAAGAGTTCATGACCTCCAAGTATTTCTTTATTTGCTGCTTCAGTGGTTAAGGAAGAAAATTACAATTAAACTAAAAACAGAGGAACTAGCCAGTCAGCACCCGTGGCATTCCTACAACCCCATTTCACACAGCAGGTACAATATGTATGCAAGGAAGAGGTAATATTTTCCTCAGCATAAACCATTTAGCTTTTGGGAAATGTTATATCCACCCAAGAGAAGTGCAACCTGTGGACTGTGTTGAACGAATGAGTAATAACAAATGCACACTTATTGCAAAAAAACCAACAACACAAAACCCTGGATTTAATAATAGGGAAGAAATTGCCCTGTGGCAATTCAGTCATAAGAATGGCCTTAGAGAACGGCAACATGGCTCTAATGTAGGAAATAGGATGGGCTTTTTCAGAGCATCTAGTCCCAGAGTGCAGAGAGGCAGTGGCGAAGCTTCATGCTCCGGCACCGGGGGGGGAGGGGGGGAGAGCAGGCGGGGGTGGGGCTGGTGCGCGTCCTGGGGCGGGGCACACCACCCACAGAGGCTTGGCGCTTGTCCTGGGGGTGGGGCACACTGCCTGCTGGGGTGTGGCACCCAGCGCGGGCGGAGGGGCCACCGCGATGGCACCCTACTGGGATTGCGCTGCTGGGGGCGGTGCACTCCCCTCGCACTCCTCTTCCTCCACCAGTGAAAAGGCTGGGCTGGAGTGTATACAAGAAAAACAACTACTACTACCTCAGTGGTAGCTCGGGTTAAGAACTTAATTCGTTCTGGAGGTCCGTTCTTTTTTTTTTTTTTTTAAATAATTTTTATTAAGGTTTCAATCGAAAATTGAACAACAAAGAAAGGAAAAAAAACATAAAAAAGATACACAAATACACAATACAAATCCCGGAAAAAAACAAAAAAAAAACACGAAGAGCAAGAATCAACAATAAAAAGAAACATAACAATTAAAAACAATATCTCTTTTCCATTTCCGTTTTTGAATTTACTTATTTTCTGGACTTCCTCATACCTCCCTCTTTTGTATCCCAATCCAAATTGTTTGTCCAGCAATTTCTTTTCCACTTTTTTAATCCCAATCTTTAATTTTAATATAACCTGACAGTTCTTAACCTGAAACTGTTCTTAATCTGAGGTACCACTTTAGCTAATGGGGCCTCCTGCTGCCGCCGCTACACGATTTCTGTTCTCATTCTGAAGCAAAGTTCTTAACCCAAGGTACTATTTCTGGGTTAGCGGAGTCTGTAACCTGAAGCGTCTGTAACCTGAGGTACCACTGTACTTACTTGTACCCTGCCCATCTGACTGGGTTGCCACAGCCACTTTGGACAGTTTCCAAGAGAATATAAAAGAACACAGCAAAACATCAGACATTAAAAGCTTCCCAATACAGTAGTACCTCAGGTTAAGTACTTAATTTGTTCCGGAGGTCCATACTTAACCTGAAACTGTTCTTAACCTGAAGCACCACTTTAGCTAATGGGGCCTTCTGCTGCTGCCGCGCTGCTGGAGCACGATTTCAATTCTCATCCTGAAGCAAAGTTCTTAACCCAAGGTAATATTTCTGGGTTAGCAGAGTCTGTAACCTGAAGCGTATGTAACTTGAAGCGTATGTAACCCGAGGTACCACTGTACAGGGCTGTCTTCAGATATCTACAGAACATACAAGCCTATATTGCTCCTTGCCAGTTCACATAGTTAACAAAGATAATTATGTGATCAGCTTTGCCTGTACACATTTGGCTTTCTGCTTTGAGCGAAGGGGCATCCAGCATGGAAAGGAAGCTGCTTTCTCCATGCATCCAGCCACTGGAGGCAGTTTTAGGGTAGCATGACTAGTTTGGCTACATAGGGTGATGGCACCACAGGTGACGCAACAACAATTATGTAGAACGGAGTTGCACCTTTTTAGCCTCATGTTCGCATGTCATTGCAGCAGCTTTTGGGGCAGGGGAAAGAATGCATCTAATGGGTGCAGCTAATGGGTATGGGGGTGCTAGGGGGTACCCTTAAGAATTTATTTTATATTGCCACTCTCCTCCCAGTCCCACCCACGTAAAATTAAACAGTAGCTCAATGTCCCTTTTGTGCAAAACCCCAGTATTAAAAAAAATAAAATGAAAACATATCTTGCTCCCACCCACCCCCAGCACAAACCCCCATTTATTTATTTTTTGCATATTGTGAAATGTAATACCTAAGTACTGGTAATGGTTGGTTCTGCCTTATTGTGTATTTCTGGTGCATGCGTGTGTTTTTGAAAATGCGCGAGCATGTTTTAAATACTTGCATGTATGCTCAGAATGGTAAAATGTACTGGAGGGCGGGGGGGGGGTGATGAAGGGGAGGAACAAAATAAAACACAGCCTGGGTTCCTTCAAGCTGGGCCCGCTGATGATGAGCAGCAAAGGGCGAAATGACAACATCCAGGACTGATAAAACAGTATGGCTGTTTGTGATATAAAACCCCCATCTGGAAGCATATTTTCAGGTGGGGTGTCCATATCACAAAAGCCCAGATTTGGAATATTTTAATAGGTGGGCTCTTGGATCTCTCCACAATTACCATGTCAGAGGAGGAAGCAAATGGTGTGCATTTCAGAAGCCTGCCATATGACACACAATTCATTTATATGCATTGTTTGCTCTCTTTTCCCTCCTCCCCTCCCTTAAAAAAAAAATTATGCACATGTGCTCCTATGTATATGTAAATGGAGAGTGGGAAGAGGGGAGGTAAACAGACAGGATGGGGAGGAGCGACAAGGGATAGTTGGTGCATTGATAAAACAAAGAAACCTTTCAAGAACGTGCTAATAGCAGCAGCAACTGGCTCCAAGGAATCCGCATGGCATCCATGTGGCTGTGGTGTCCCAACCGGCAAGTGAGGGGTTTCTGCCTCAGAGAAGAATGCTGTGGTAAGAGGCCTTCTCCTATGCAACACCATTATTATTTCCACAAGACATGAATTCCTTCTCCCAGTTACTGCTATGGTGAAGCACTACAGCTACAGAAAGAAGGGCAACCAAGCCCCACATAAAAATACAGTTCCCTTTCCAGAGCTGAGCTTGTGTGCCTATTGCTTATGTTTTAATCCGAAACATATTTCTAGGCTTACACAGAGATAATGCTGGGGAAACACAGCAAGGGGGTGAATCGCATGCTGGTCCACTTAAAAACACTGGGTGGGAGAAATGTATGAGGGGAGAAGGGGAGAAAAATCGCTACCTGGCTAATGAAAATGGATAAAATTAGGAGTGTAACAAATTCTATTTCCTGATCTCCGTTAGAAGCATAAAACCATTAAACAGCTGACAGTTTCTCTCTACTAAATGAGCATGTTAACATGTCACGGCAGCCTTCCTTTGATTAGTTCTGACCTGTTTGGAAGCAATTTATTATTTGGGTCAAGGCAAATGTAGTTGTGCAGCTGAAGTGCACAAACCTTCGTTCCCTACCTATCCGGCAAATGCCTCTTTTTAACAATGCGGTGAAAGCAGAGACGGTTGCCAAGCCATGGAAGATGGCTGGGCTTTGTGCCAACATATCCTTGAATAAGACCTTGCACATAACCTCGTCTAGTTCATTTTGCTGTCTGTTCTTCTAAAATTCCAGGCCAAAAGAAGCAAAACAATAACAAAAAAAACCATTGGAAGATCGGCAAAGAAACAAGCGAGAGGAAACATCTTCAATAATGTAATAACAACAGTGGCAACAACAATTATTATTATCTTTATGATAATAATAATTTGTTAATCACTTGATATATAAGGAATCTAAGTGACTTGTAAACCTTAAAAACATAACACATAACATAAAACCATAAATGCCAAAGAAATTAACAACTATCTGACTTTTAGAAGACATCTGAAGGCAGCCTGTTTAGGGAAGCTTTTAATATTTGATTAATTATTGTATTTTAATATTTTGTTGGAAGCCTCCCAGATGGGCGGGGTATCAATAAATTATTATTATTATTATTATTATTATTATTATTACACTATAATGTTACAAAAGTTGGGTGCTACCCCCACTCTCTGCCAAGCAATAGCAAGATCCCAGAGGCTTCCAGTCACTCACCCAAGGTCTATGTTCCTTTGGAGAACTGAGACATGGCGGAGACTACCATAGCTTTAAGAAATTTGGTTTATTCACCTATTTACACCTTCAGTCTGCATGGAGGGTGTCCAGATCTTACAGCATGGTTGTTTCAAGAGGGGCTTGTCCCCCACAGCAGTGCAGCCCTGCAGTCCAAGGCATCTCTCTCAGCCAACCTTCAGCCAGCCTGCCCAAGATGGATCCCAGTCTTTATTCTTCCTTCTTCTTCCCAAAACACTGCCAAAACTCTGTTTCCCTGTCGCCTTACACCCAACCTTCCAACTCCCCTGTCTTCTGTTCAAAGGAGGAAGGACAATTCTCTTGCATTGTCAATGGCTCTCAATGGCCCTGTATTTTTTCTTAATGGCCCTAGCTTGGCCAGGTTGTTTTGCATAGGCGAGCTCAGGAATTCCTCTGCAGCTTTTATTTCTCCCTTCACATTCCAAATCATCCACATCCTACTATTTATTAAATTCAACGGTTTGTGGGAGGGGTCTCCCCAAATCTATAACAATAATAAATATGTGCAAAAATCTGTAGAACAGACTCCGTAAAATGGCAGCCAAAAAAGGCTTCAGCAGTAAAATATGTCATCAGCAGAATCACCATAATGACCAAGTAGAAAGAGAAGCCCCGTCCTCCCCCACCTCGAGTTCCACACATGTTTTTAAAAGGAACACGGTGTTGCAACTAGAGATGGACCTTGGGAGGCAATGACCAGGGCCCTACAGCCCCTCACCCACCCTATGATCACCCAGAGAGCAACAGGTGACGGACTACAGTGTCAAACAGGCATTCCAGGTTTTTTACTGGGATGCTACATCATGCTTTCTTTCCTCTTCTTATTTTTAAAGACATGTTATATAGCCAGGGGGCAGCTGTCCACACATGTACTTGGTTAAAGATGCTCATTTTTTAATTATTTTCACTCTAAGGATAGATTTTCCTTTTCTACAAGCAAGCAGTGCTTATCCCCACGTAAATGTGTTCAGCATCAGGGCAGCAGAAGTAAACGCCATCTTATCCTTGCAGTCCCGGTGGGGCTATGATTGAAGTGAGTTTAACATGCAAAACTGCACACGCTCATTCCTTTTATCGAAATCAAGGCTGGCAAACTGCTTGTTGTTGTTGTTTGTTTGTTTGCTTGCTTGTTTGTTGCTCTAACGTATCGAGAATACAGAAGCAGTAGTATAAAGCATGGAATCACAGTGGGAGGTGGGGAAGAGATATATTTTGTATGCTTTGCAAATGAAATAATACACATGGCTGCCTACAGCATTCCCCTCCCCCCCCATAAGACCCTTAAATCTAGGGTCTAAAATTACCTAGCTATGCTACTGAATTGATGTCTTTTGCATGTTAAAGTCTCTGACCCCGATCCAGCCTTAGTCACATGCAATTAGTCTCATACAGCAACCAGTAGCCCTGGATTGTGATGCTTATTTTCACTGGCATCTGAAGATGCATCGTCCGGCTGATTCAGTTGCATATCTGCATCATCTGTGCATGTACAAGCTTCCTTCTACATATGGATCCTCCTTCCTAGATTTGCGGTAGAGGCCAATCCCCCTCCCTCTGCGTGTTCAATTGACTCATGCACAACTGTGTATACTTGCAGCACCAGAAAATAAATAGAATCATACTAGGAAATGGAGAGAAAGAGATGGAGAGTCCTTGCGGCTCACGAGGAGACCCTCCCCAGAGCATGAAGAGGATGTCAGTATGGGCAGAGGAAGCCCCAAAGAGATCAGAAGCGCAGCAGGGCTTTGTTTAGGCTGCTCAGCCTCCCTGACTAACAGCTGGTGTGTAGGGTAACGCAGCAGCAGGTAGAGAGCAAGGGGGAAATGGGTGTTTTAGAGGCTTTTTAGATGGTGCTCCCCACTTTATATGTTGGGGGCGCTGGAATGTAACCCCTGCATAAATGGGGGAGAGACACCTGCATTTGAGTTGTGACCATTCTTTATCCCTTACCCTCCCAGAGAAGTAAAGCAAAAGTCCCCAAATGTAGTCATTTATTTACTATATCAGTACATCGCTCTTCCTCCATCAGGATCACAGGATGATTTGCCATATTCACATGGAAACAATAATAAGATAATAGATAAAATGATCGATGCAACCAATCAGCTAAAACAAGGGTGACAACAATTATGCAGCAAGCACAATTTCCCACAATGCCGCTGATGTGGTATCCCTCCAAGGCAGCAGTTCTCAACCTGTGGGTCTCCAGATGTTGTTGGATTACAACTCCCATCATCCCTGAGCTCTGGCCTTGCTAGCTAGGGGTGGTGGGAGTTGTAGTTCAACAACATCTGGGGACCCACAGGTTGAGAAAGGCTGCTCCAAGGTATTCTGAGATACAGAGCTGCAACACAAAATTTAAGGGGGTTGGTCACCCTTTGCCCACCCCAATTAAATCAAGTCCTATTGCTCATTCTGTCCTGCCTTATTCCTGAGTTGTTGCAGTAGCAAAAATAACCCTGGTGCGGGAGGCAAAGGAATGACACATGTGTCGTGTGTGCGTGGAGGAAAGAGTGAGAAACTTAGCAGACAAAGCAGATGTGAGAAGAAAAGCTGCTGCAGGGAAGAGGGGGTGAAATCCCTGATGTCTTTGATTTGTTGGGAGTAGGAAGAACCTTTGTGCTTAATGTCAGGGGAGGTGTCAGCCGTTCCAGAATAATGAGTGCGCTTCATATCCTTTTATGGCTTAAAGATGAAAAGAGCGGGTGATCCAGTTTTGTGAGCCTCGGTCAATGCAGATAGAAAACTCACCTTCCTGCAACATCAACTAGTTTGTTCACAGGAAACAAAGGGCCAACTTCATGGTAAAGGTAAAGGCAGGTAAAGGACCCCTGGACGGTTAAGTCCAGTCAAAGGCAACTATGGGGTGCTGCGCTCATTTCGCTTTTCAGGCTGAGGGAGCTGGCGTTTGTCCACAGACAGCTTTCTGAGTCATGTGGCCAGCATGACTAAACTGCTTCAGGTGCAACGGAACCTTGTGACGAAATCCAGAGTGCACAGAAATGCTGTTTACCTTCCCGCCGCAGTGGTACCTATGTATTTATCTAATTGCACTAATATGCTTTCAAACTGCTAGGTTGGCAGAAGCTGGGCAGAGCAATGGGAGTTCACCCCATCATGCGGATTTGAACCGCCAACCTTCCAATTGGCAAACCCAAGAGGCTCAGTGGTTTAGACCACAGCGCCACCTGCTCCCAGTGGCCAACGCTGTAGCTCTCCAGGGACCAGAAGATTTCAGTGTATGTGACGGAGCTTCCTTTTCTCCTCCTATCTCTTCAAGCCACCCCACCCCAACACCCTAACTATCAGCACTGGAGGGGTGGGAGACTCTCAGGAGCAGATTTTGTGGGGCATGCAAGAAGGGGAGGGCACCGTCTTGTCCTTTGCTTTGGGGCAGCCCTCGGTTTGGTTTCCTTAATCTGGGGCTGGCCTACAGCTGCATTGTTAGAGATCCGTCTTGTTCCAGATTGGTAACAATCTGTTCTTTCATTCCCACCTCAAAAGAGATGACCAAAAAATGTTATGCAATTCCGTTTCAGTGGCAATAGATTTACAAGAGCTCGCCAAGAATCACTTTGTAGTCGGATGTGGTTATACAAATTCTTAAATATTACTTTTGATCTTTTATCAGAAGATCGGAGAAATAAAGACAGCCAGGAATCCAATTTGGATACATCATCAGATGACAGTCACCAGACAAAACCGGTGTTTAGAGCTGTTTCACTGAACAGGACATCTGCAGCCTAAGGTAAATGAAAAATGACAATGCCTCTTCAAGCCTGTTATGAAAGAAGTATTTCATGTTCATATTGTGTGCAGCTGTATCTGCCTCATTCTTTCAGCATTACAGTGTTAAGTGCATAATGTTGACAGCATTCAATCATAATCACAACTGTCAGCAACATTCAGAACGGAGGGCAGCTTCTCAGTTGCTACCATCAGATATGCAAGCAGCCAAAGTTCCACTCTGGTGGGGGGGGCCAAGGAAGCACCAGTGGGCGCTAGCCACTGTCCAAATATGCTGAATACTGATGCCTGCTATGATTAAAGGTAGAGCATCTGGTCACCCCAGATGGAAAATGATGGGTTAAGTTGATGCCCATGTTGGTGGCAGGCTGAAGACTATGAGTGTGTAAGAGACTAATGTTTGCAATACTGTATAGTGGGACTAGAGAACAATAGCAAGCAGTCAACAATGGACTCTCAGAGATCAGAACCTTGCTAGATCAGGCCAAAGGACTATCTAGGAAGCATCCTATTTTCCACAATGACCAACCAGGTGTGTATAAGATGCCCACAAGCAGGACACATGGGCCCTCTCCCACTTACTATGTTCTCCAGTAACTGGTGTTCAAAGGTGTGCTATCTTTTGATCCTGGTAGCGGTACAGAGCTATCGCAACTAGTAGCTATTGACAGCTTTATCCTCCATGAATTTCTCTAATCTAAAGCCATCTAAGTTGGTGGCTCTCACTCCTCCATCACCACGTCTTCTAGCAACTAATTTCATAGTTTAACTATATGGACAAGAAAACATCAAAGGGGGCATGACGGAAGCATGCATCATGGTTCCTTGGAGCAAAATTCACACAGCCCAGCATGTAAAACTACAACCTGTGAGATGTTGCACTAACCTTGAACTACTAACCTAAGGGGTTCCAAAAGCCAAGGTTTCTACAGCAGAAGTGCCACTGTCCTTTTTTCCTATCTCTGCCCCAATAGCATTTTAATAACAGCAGGAACTATGGCTGCCTAAATGATACACTATTCTCATAACCCTTACCTATGGGTTCAGGACCTTACTTAATGGCTCAGGACCGCAAAAGCTCAAGGACCGCCTCTTTCCATATGAACCTACCTGGACCCTGAGATCATCTTCTGAGGCCCTCCTTCGTGTGCCTCCTCCTCAAGAGGTCCGGAGGGTAGCAACACAAGAACGGGCCTTCTCTGCAGTGGCTCCCCATCTGTGGAATGCTCTCTCCAGGGAAGTTCACCTGGCACCTTCATTATACACCTTTAGGCACCAGGCAAAAATGTTCCTTTTTAAACAGGCCTTTGGTTGACCTGATCAACATCCTATACCCTTTTAAAATGTGGCTCTTTTCAGGGGGGGGGTGTTATTGGGTTCTTGTTTTTATTTTATATATTGTGATCTTTTCTGTGAACCCCCCCAAGACCTCCGAGTATAGGGCGGTATATAAATTGAGTAAATAAAACAAATAAAATAATATTGCTACACAAATCATTGCATTATTTCTCCACCTTGCCAATAAATTAATAAATAAATGGGCAAGGAGGGCCAATCCCAGTTCAGAGTGATCACAGGTCCTTGTCGGTCCATTCACACAGAGTAGAACTGGCAAAAAATTATACCAGCCAAGAGGTAGAAATTTTTATAGAGGCTGACAAGCAGCACATTGGAGTGATCAGTCCCCATCCTTCTCACTAGTACCCTGTATGAACAAAGGCACCCTTTGCTGTCCATGCTTGTCAAATGTAAGGCACAGATGTTCCATCTCTTGTCAGTTTCTGTCTTGTTGTGGAGCAATGACTGGCCTGCCTGGAGGAGAAACCTCCTCCCCTGGGACTCAGCCCAAGCCAGTGTCTGCAACAGCAGTCAGTCAAAGAGAGCTCCTCTGATCTCACATCCCCCTAGTTTCTGACTATGGTGTCCTCAGACTTGGGAAACAAGAGAGCATTATATGCACCAGTGTTTTAAGTTGCCCAGGTGGTAGCAGCTCCTTGTCATCTTCCATAGCCCAATATACCCCAATCCTTCCTCAGTTCCCTTCCTGGATTGCCAAATTACGATACCTCCTGCTTTCTATATACAGTAGCATCTTATGGCTTTTTTTTTAATGGGAGGGTGGAATAGCTGTGTGATATCAGGGGTTAATAACCTTGTATACTGCAGTTGAGATTAAGTCAGCTGCTTCAACATTTTGTAACTGTTAACTCTTAAATTTCCCTCAACCGTGAAAACCTCTGTTGAATATTTTTGACATGGCTGTTTGATCAGCTCCTCTTCATATAAGTTTAACAGACAGTGGTGGAATCTACACACATACAAAAAACATTCTGAAAATACTTTGTTGTTGTTGTGTTTTTAAAAAAACATTGAGTTTTCCATAAGGCTCACTATCACCATCTAGTGTCACATTGTATATTGCACTTAAAACACTCTTAATGTTTTATTTGCAGTTGTGTAGCTGAGTCCAGTGTATTTGAAAGGGGCGTGACCAGAATGCCATAGGAGGAGGAAGGAAATAAGATATAGGATCGGGAGGAAGCAAGTTGGGGAAGTAGATCTGCATGAAACAAACAATGTAGTGTAAATTAGTCAGAAAGAATAGGCTGCCTAACACCTCTAGAGAACATAGTTATGTATAAGCTGTGCTGACTGGGGCTGATGGGAGTTGTAGTTCAGTACATCTGGAGAGCACCAGGTTGGTGAAGGATGAATTACACTCATGGTGTTCATGCTTTATATAATCAGAAAATATGGACTTATTTCAGCCCCACTCAATTTGCACTGACCCTTATACAGCAACTCATCAGGATATAAAATTGACACACCTACATAATCTCAGTTGTTGTTGTTAGTGAATTAGAGAATGAACTTAATAGTAATCAAAACTATCATGTTATTATCTTCTTTATGAAGCACCACAAATCAATTTTGCAATACAATAAGATTCACATGCATTATATGTGTATATTTTTTAAAAAAACCTGAAAGTAGTGGCAGGACATTTCTCCATTTGTAGTACATTTCTCCCATTTTATTCAACAATGGAAATAATATTGACAAAGCTAATATTTAGGGGGGAAAGACAGAAAATACAAAATCTGTTTTATAACTAGTCAATAGCTTAATCCCAACAAATCTCAGCTCTGATTTCTCAGTCTCCATATATTTGGTGGTTTATAGTGTCACCAGAATCCCTTGATAGAATTACTGCCTTACATTACATGGGTAATTATCAACTGTCTGTATATAAGAGACTTTGCAAATAATTAAGGATTGTAATTCTGGATTATCATTGATTAATGGACAAGGAAACCTGGTACCTCCTGCGTCTTGGAAGGCTGATCTGCTCTTTTGTCACATCTGATCTTTGATTGGCCCATTTGATGATGACCTCTTCATCCTTAGCTCAGGAATGCTTTCACATAGCTGCTTATACATTAAATACAGCTGTTAAATGTTTTCCCCCTTTCTTTGTGGACTGAAAGTGGGGAAAGAATACCGGGTGCAAAACTAGCTTGACAATTTATAACATAAAATATATAGCTGTTGAAATCTCCTGGTTCCAAAAGTATTTGAACTCACCGCTACCTGTTATGATCAAATATTCTAAATCCAATTCTGTATTTGACATTTATTTTAAAATTCCCAGTGACACAAAGGAGAAGCCTGTCCCAGAGTATGTGAATGACCCCCCTGTGCTGTTTCATATTTTAAGAGGAGCCGCATGTGTCTCGACAGCCTAGCTAAACCCATTCCTGCTGTTCATACCCTTATGATTCACTGGGCAGTTTTAAAATTATCTCCTAGTTCTTGTTCTAAACTACAATGCAGAGTCGTGGAGCACTGGGCACATCAATCCTATGCTCATATCATGCCAGGACTGGAGGAGATATGCTGTCTCTACATCAACAGAATGGCCACCATATCCGATGTGTGCACAGCCTGGTAAATACACTCTTGGAAAATACAAAAATGGGAGGAACACAGCCAACATGCCCCAGCATTCTGGGAAACCCAGGGGCTGTACCAGTGATAGTATCTCTGTCCACACAAAGAGGAAACCAATGAATTCGCCATGATGAGGATTTGTCCCAGCACGCACACATCCCTACATCACCACACATGTACAAGATGATGCCACAGCAGTGTCCATTCTCCATCAGCCCCCGTGGCACAGTGACCCACAGCACCATAGCTGTCAACTTACAGATTTGAAAATAAGGGACCAGCAGCCTTGAAAATAAGGGACCATCAGCCAAAATAAGGGACCTGCAGCCTCACCTGTTCCAGGCACTCCAGTCTTCCTGTCCTCCTGCAGTCTGGTCAAACTCATGCTGGGTAGATTCGAGAACACTGTCCAACCAACTTTGTAACCAGAGGTTCAACTGAATAGAATCTGAATCACATGCACCACAAGGCCTATGAAGCCTCAAGTTAAGATGGCTCCCCGGCCTGGCTTTGCACTGCAAAGTTTGCAGCAGCACGTGCAACAAAATGGCGTCCAGCATTCAAAACCCTCCTCAGCTTGCATTAACTAGCCACACACAAGGCATGCAAGCTTCACCCCCCAGTCATTCTTAGACTTCTTATTCGGTGAGCAACACAGCCAAGCAACACAGTAGGAGCCTCCCTTCTCCCTGGCCGGCAGGGAGGGAGGGAGAGGAGCTGCTTCCTTTGAAATTTAAGGGACATCATTTAAGGGACATTTAAGGGACATCCATCAATAAGGGACAGCAGTGGGACATGGCGCTGGAATAAGGGACTGTCCCTTCAAATAAGGGACACTTGACAGCTATGCAGCACTGCAGGCATCTACCTAGGCAGAGATTCAAACCCACAGTCCATCTTTCGGAGCACAGCACATACAAAGGGGAAGCAGGGGAAGACGCACAATATTATAGCACCCGCATAGGTTACTGGGGAGGATGCCCGCAAAAGAGCACACACATCCCTCCAGGGACAAGGGTTTAAGGTTTCTCCTAGGCAGACCAAAGCAGTCAGAAAACGGGGCCAGGACATGCAACATGGACAGCTATTGATGCATCCCAGAGATGTGCTCTGACCCTAGCAGATCTCCAGTGGCTCACTGAATAGGGGCAGGGGGTTGGAAGCAGAAGGTGGGAGTTTGAGCCTCATTAAGAGGAAAGAAGGGATGCGGGTGGCACTGTAGGTTAAACCACAGAGCCTAGGACTTGCCGGTCAGAAGGTCGGCGGTTTGAATCCCCGCGACGGGGTGAGCTCCCATTGCTTGGTCCCTGCTCCTGCCCACCTAGCAGTTCGAAAGCACGTCAAAGTGCAAGTAGATAAACAGGTACCGCTCCGGCGGGAAGGTAAATGGCGTTTCTGTGCGCTGCTCTGGCTCGCCAGAAGCGGCTTAGTCATGCTGGCCACATGACCCAGAAGCTGTACACTGGCTCCCTCAACAAATAAAGCGAGATGAGCGTCACAACCCCAGAGTTGGCCACGACTGGACCTAACGGTCAGGGGTCTCTTTACCTTACCTAAGAGGAAAGAGGCAATATGCTGGATGTTGGAAGATTTGGGAAATATAAAAGGAAGTGCTTCTTCATGCAGCGCAAAGTCAAACTATGGAACCGCAGGAGGCAGCAAGGACCACCAACTTGGAAGGCTTTAAAATAGGATTAGACATTTTCCATGATGGCAAAGCTCTGCCTCCACAGTCAGGAGCAGCATCCTTCTGAATGCCAGTTATGGGAAATTGCAGGTGGGCAGCGTTCATGCCCTGCATCTGGTTGGCCACTGTGGGACCAGGATGCTGGACTCGATGGGTCATTGGATTGATCTAGTGGGCTGTTCTTCTGTTCGTTTTTGTGTGCCTGGGGGGGGGGGAATCCACACTGGGGCAAAAGAGAGGGAGTGCCCCAAAATGAAACTGAGCCGGTGAGCACAACGGAGCGGTCCTCCAACCACATAGGTCACATTCACAGCATAAATTTAAAGCGCAATTGAATAAGGTCCCCCATGGAATTCTGGGTACTCTCGTTGGCCAAACGTGCTGGGAATTATAGTTCTGTGGTTGGGTCTCCGAACAACCCACAGCGCCCTTAACAAACTATTGTTCCCGTGATTCTTTGGGGGGAACCATGGCTGTAAAATCAGTATGAGGGTGCTTTAAATGTACTGTGTGGATGTGACTGCATCCACAGACACCAATCAGATGCACAAAGGACATTTTGGCTTCCCAGCCCTCAGAAGGTGCAAGTATAATATTGTGCCCTTAAACTGTGGCTATATTTCCTACCTCAAGGGATCCTATTTCAGAGGTGAATCAAAACCCACTTTGTAAGAAAAAATGGGTTGGTTTTTATTTTTTAGGATGATAGACACAAACACGCACGACCCTATATTTTTGGTGTCCTGCAAGATAAAGGGCTATTGCAATATGCCATATAGGTTGTTGGTTTCTTTGCAAGATCAAGAGAAAACAATGGCTTGTATTCTCCCCTTCTCTCCCTAAAGGAGGACACACAATACGTTTAGACTTCTCTGACCTTGCCAAGAAGCCTTTTGCTCAAAGACAAAAGCAAGAGAACAATGGAAGGTTGTTCTTTGATGCTGGGCTTTGCCAAAATCTTTTCAGATAAAGGTCAGAAGCTGGCTGTTGTTGTTGGTACTATTATTATTGGTGTGTGCATGCGCTATGTTTTATTGGAAATAATAAATTCGCCCGGTAATTAGTGCCTTGCATTTTATTTTTCTTTGCTGACCCTTTGCTTTTTGAAAAATGCCCTTTAAGGAGATTCTCACTGCAGCGAATGGTAATATAAATCTCAACATTAGATCTTGGATAATATTTCCAGAACTGCTGAACATTTAAAAAAAATAATAATGCAAAGGAATCTTTTGAATTTCTCATCCTTCCCTGAGCCATAATAATCAGAGAAGTAGATCGAGAGCTGTCGCATGGAGACAGCGTCCTCGCCGTACCTGGGCTGCATACTAATGGGATGCTCCCACCCTGCAGAGGGAGACGTGGAAAGCCTTTTTAATGTCAGCTCAAAGCTGAGAAGTTAAAGCAACAAATCTCACTCAGCAGAACAGGAGAGCATCAATGTGGCTGAGAAACAGCATTGCCATCAACCTCAAATTATTTCATTTTGTGGGGGAGGGAGGGAGGGAGGGAGGGAGGCCAAACAGATTGAGACTCATCCTTTAGGGTAGGATGAGGCCGGACCTATTGCCCTCCAGATGTTGCTGAACTCCAACTCCCATAATCCTCTGACCGTTGGCCCATGCTGGCAGGGGCTGATGGGAGTTGGAGCACTAGCCTGCCCATCCCGAAGGTGTTAGAGATAAATGCATCTTCTCAAGCCTTGTTGTGTTGAAGCCTGAGAGAAGCCAGCTTCCATGAAGCCAGATATAGCCTCTTAGTCCAGGCACAGCTCCAGCGAGGGAGTAATGCTCCGATATGTGTTGAGAGGGGGAAGGGAAGCAACCTGCTATCGAGCCAGAAAAGTGTGAAAAGATTCAGCACAGCCCCACATATTAAAACTGGTGGCAAAGCCCGCGTCAGAATTTCCTACAGTGAATAGCAACACCAGGCAGGTCAGCACCATACATTTAAAGCACATCCAACACACATTTAAATCATGTGACTTCCCCCAGAGAGTCCTGGGGACTGTAGTTGGTTAAGGATGCTGGGAAACAGTAATTCTGTGAGGGGGGGAAACTACAGCTCCCAGGAGTCTTTGGGGAAAGTCATGTGCTTCAAATGGGTGTTCGCTATGCTTTAATCAGGGGTCAGCAAACTTTTTCAGCAGGGGGCCGGTCCACTGTCCCTCAGACCTTGTGGTGGGCCGGACTATATTTTGAAAGAAAAAAATGAACGAATTCCTATGCCCCACAAATAACCCAGAGATGCATTTTCAATAAAAGCACACATTCTACTCATGTAAAAACACCAGGCAGGCCCCACAAATAACCCAGAGATGCATTTTCAATAAAAGCACACATTCTACTCATGTAAAAACACGCTGATTCCCAGACCATCTGCGGGCCGGATTTAGAAGGCGATTGGGCCGGATCCAGCCCCTGGGCCTTAGTTTGCCTACCCATGGTTTAAATGTACACTGTAGCTCTGCCCATAGGAACATGGGAAGCTGCCTTATACTGAATCAGACCATTGGTTCATCCAGACTCTGGAGTTTTCAGACAGGAAGTTTCCTCCTGTATGCTGTACAGATGCTCTGTCACTGAGCTACAGATATCACGCATGGGCATCACCTTCAACGAAGTCGGTATCCTGAGCCAAAATTTCTCAGAAATTTTCTGATAATTTAAAATATACTTTTGTCCCTTCTCCTAAAAAAGAATTCTTGGAATATTCTATGCCTCCTCCCCGCCCCCCACTCTTTTGTTTGTTTGTTACCATTTCCCCACTCACAAAGTCCTGGAACAATGGCAGGTCTCAGGCATTGGGAGGAACACAAAACGTTGCCAAGTCTGCCAACTGAGTTGCTACAGCATAAAAATACATGGTTCTAGGTGGGCGGCAGGGATAAGCTGTGCTGCTGCTACAGCAGATGGGCAGCCTATCAACTACGGGGGGATTTCTTCTCCTTCTATATTCAGCAAAATGGTTCCCCCTGTTTTGCTGCCTGCAGACAGAGTGGAGAATTTTGGAAGGCCATTTTTGATCGGCTCTTTATGTGCTTGCTGCAGGGTACACACCAGGGTAACATTCAGTGCAGCGATCATAATGTGTGGAGCAAAAGCCACGAAGAGAGCCATCTGGAAGAAATGACGGAGATGAGGTTAAAATATGCCAGGCCTGTTAATGAGGTGTGCATAAAAAGGAATCATTTGTGTCAATATCATTTGGTGCTTCTATGCATTGATTTTTTTTTTCTTGTAATTATCTTGTGATTAAGGAATATGTATGCTGGAGCAGGTTATCCACATAATATTTTCCAGGACAAATCTCATGAGTCACATTCGATTCACCCCACTGAAATTATGGACAGCCACTTCAAGTATAACTTTTTAAATTTTTTTTTTAGAATGCTTTGTTCAGTTCTGGTCTCTGCACTTCAGGGGGGGGGAAAGATACTGCTGCGCTGCAAAAAAATAAAAATCAGAAATCAGAAAATGATTACGGGAGCTGGTGAAACTCCCCCATGAGGAAAGTTTACAGCATTTGAGGCTTTTAATTATTTTTTAATGTACTTATACTGTGGAAGGAGGAGAAAATGATAGAGGTGTATAAAATGTGCGCAGTGTGGAGAAAGTAGAGAGAATCCACCTTTTATAATACTAGATCTAGGGTCATCTAGTGAAGCAGAAGACAGGGAGATTCAGGAGAAACAAAATACAAACAGTGGGATTTGGTGCCACAGGATATAGTGACGGCCATCCAATAGGACAGCTTTAAAATGGGCTTAGACTAATTAATGGAGGATAAAGCCATGGCTCTCAGTGGTGAGCAGCCATGTTGGTGATGCTCTTCTTCCACTGTCAGAAACAGTGGGCCTGAATTCCAGTTGCTGGGAAATGGAACCCAAAGTGGGCAGAGTACTATTGCACTTTTTGGCAACTGTGAAATTAGGATGCTGAGCTAGACGTGCCTTTGATCCTGTCTGGCTGCTCTTATGATCTCATGTTCTTATGTGCCTCCACAGGATGCTTCCAGGTCGCATAGGAATTGAACCCCTGAGCTGGAAGCTGGGAGGGAAACCTCAGAAAGGAGGTTTGCATTTAACATCTAACTTGAATTTATGAAAACCACAAAACGGGAACAACGGCCTTTTCTAATTCATATTGTGTGTCTTCCATTGTGACATCAGTGCTATGTTATTAACCGCAGCAGACCAGTATTATGCCCCACACTTTGCCCTTGGAATCAGCACTGAGAATGCCCCTTGCCTCATAGTACTTTGGCATTAAATGCCATTTACATAGCTCTGAATGATCCAGCCATAGGTCTGAACCCTCAAGGAAAACCAATGTTCCAACAATTAATAGTTCCAGAATTTAGAATATGCCTTGAATGCAGATGGTCTCAGGTTCAGTCCCTGGTGTCTCCGGTTAATGCAACCAGGTGATGGGAAGGAACCAGGAGAGCCACTGTCAGAGCAGACAGACAGACATTCTGACATGGTATAAGCTAAGGCAGCTTCCTGTGATCCTCAGGAACAGAAAGCAGAACTTTGCCCTCTCCTCATGGAGAGTGGGGCAGTGGCAGAGAAGCATCAGAAGGGGTGGAGCTTGGCAGCACCATTGTTATAACATTAGAAACAGACCTGGATAGAGCTAGTCAGTGTCTCAGTACGTAATACACAATGCTGTAATGTATTTCCATCAAAACCTCCTTGGGAATCAATCCCAATTGCATTACAATAGATGAGCACCAATTGAAAAACAAATGCAACACACCTGGTTTTTATTAGCATGAATAGACAACGGTTAGACAACAGCTCTTATATACAGATAAAAGAGTGTTATGTGTGTTACCTGAGCAGCACTCTGTATAAACAGAAATGAGAAATGAGACAGCTCTGATCCTGGGTGTTCCATATTTTGAAGATGAGGCGTCCGTTCCTTTTCTTTAATCTACCACCCACGAGACTAATACTTGCAGGAGGACTTTTCAAGTTTGCAAGGAGCCTTTCGTCTTTGTTTAGATGTTGCGTTCTTTTCCTATGTAGTTTAGGTGGCATTCTGAAGTCTAAACCGATTGAACCCAAAATATTCTCTCATCTCAACGTTAAATCATATTTTCATAATGTGAAAAAGTTCTATTTTGCCTGCTTTTCTTCTTCATTTCTGAAGGACACTTTCTGGAACCTGGGGCAACATTTTTTTGTGTTTTTTGTAGAAACGTAACAGTCCATAAAAGCCATATTTCCACAGGCACTCTGTGTAGGATGTACTTACAAATTCCTCCCTACATATTCAACCCTGTGTTTGTATAAGTTCCATGACACTTGCCCTCTAGGACAGGGACAGCGAATGTGGTGCCCGCCAGATGTTGTAGACTACAACTCCCATCATTCCTGCCCATTGGCCATAACAGCTGGGGCTGTTGCCCTTGCAGCTCACAGCATGTGCAGGGCCCTGTGTCCGCTACCCCTTGCTTTAGGAGGCATCCATAACACGTTGGCCTTACAATTTGTTAGATGGGTTGGCATCCGTCCGTCTCGAGAAACAAAGGAGTGCGCCTTCAGGGGTGAAGTCAAACTGTTGCGTTAGCAGCACCAAAGTGACTTCCCTGGGGAGCAAGCCTGGGCAGTGTGTATGGAGGACTTAGGCTGCCCAGACAAGACCCTGCTCTCGGCCTCACTAATGTGGTCCAAAGAAAAGCAGAGCAATATGTTTTGGCACCAGCTTGGCTGCAGAACCCATTGGAGCCAAAGGTGAGAGCTGAGGGGCGGGTGAGGACTAAAGGTGGGCAAACTACCCCAGAAGGAGCACAACGTGTCCCACACCAGAGGCACTACCCTTTCCTATACACCCCTTGTTAGATTACAACTGTTAAGTTGTGGGTGAACATATCAGACAACACAGCGATTCTTCAAACAGCTCTTGTTTATTCACAGGCCAGAACTGAACGGAACTGAAGGGTTCAGCCAGCCTACTTATATAGAGCTCCACTACAACGCAACAACTTTCTGTAACTATCCAGTCACTGAACGTCACTTTCAATTCCTTATTTGCATATGTGGACCTTAGTGGAAACTATCTACAGTATCCCTCTGCTGGCCCAGAGTGAGAACTTCAGTACATAACAATAACTGAACAAAAACCACAGCAGTCAATCAATCTGCACCTGTTACAGCATTTCTAATTTGTAACCCGCTCTGAAATGGCTTGCGTTGAAGAGCAGGATAAAAATGTTTTAAATTAATAAGTAAATAAATAAATAAATAAGTGCCTGATCCTATGCATGCTTACAGTGAACTCAGAACTTGCATGTCCCCAAAAAGCATTTGCTTGCTTCCCAATCTTTTATAGGAACATGGGAAGCTGCCTTACATTTTATAGGAACATAGCAAGCTCTCAGGCCATTGGTCCATCTAGCTCACTACTGTCAACATTTCATCAAAATGTAGTACCAATGTATTCAAAAGGACTTACTCCCAGGTAAGTGTGATAGGGCTTCAATCCTTACAATCCTTACATATCCTTATTTAGGACCAACTTCTGTGTAAGCATGCATAGGACTGCACTATTAATCTGATGGGTTTTCCCTCTGTTCTTTCTTTTTAATACACAATAAACACCCAGAAAGTACACACAATTTAAATTATTTCTATATTTGATTTATTTGCTCATTTGTCTTAACACAACATAGCGGTTTCAGTAATAAATTAAAACTGCAGTCCTAAACCCACATACTTAGGAATATACCTCATTTATATGTCTACTTTTATATCATCCCAATATAAGTGATTTTCCTTCATTCCTATGAAAGACGACAATTGTGCCATAGTTACAAGGTTGAAGGTTTTTACTATTGATTCTTTTAAACCTGGGCTTTCAGATGAATTCCCAGTGTTTTGTGTGTACTACTCTAGCATCTATCATGTAGCTAATCAATTTACTATGTTGTTGTTTTTTACATTTAAGATCTCTTGGTACCCTAGATGAAGCCTGAAAAATATAGAATAAAGTGGAACTGTGACTTCTTGCAACTTGAAAAATCTGTTCTCTTAATGTATGTATTAAAATTGCATTAGCTATTTTTAAAGCCACGTCCTACTGCTGACATGCTGGTTCAGACTGAGACTGACTACAATCCCAAAGTGAATTTCACATGTACTGCTTGCAAGCCAGGTATTCCCCATCCTATACCTACACATTTGCTTCTTGTTTTTGCTTAATTATTTTCCTTTACCTCTTTTTCTGTGGCTGCAAAGGATTATCTGGTGAAAGCGGGTGGTGTCTGGTGAAACACTCTGCTTAAACTCTACCCATGTAGTATGACATGAATGCACAATGTAACATTGCGGGGGGGATGCCATGCAACCCCCCACTCTCAGCCTGACACTATATTTATTTGATTGATTTTAACTCTTCTTTTCTGTCCAAAGGTCCAATTTATATAAGCATGACCAAATGCAGTTTAAAATCTACATCAGGGGTCAGCAAACTTTTTCAGCAGGGGGCCAGTCCACTGTCCCTCAGACCTTGTGGTGGGCCGGACTATATTTTGAAGGAAAAAAAGAACGAATTCCTATGCCCACAAATAACCCAGAGATGCATTTTAAATAAAAGGACACATTCCACTCGTGTAAAAACGCACTGATTCCCGGACCGTCCGTGGGCCGAATTTAGAAGGCGATTGGACCGGATCCGGGCCCTGGGCCTTAGTTTGCCTACCCATGATCTACCTAATCAATTTGGGATCTCTCTCTCTCTTTTGCAAGAGATCCCACTTCAAGATCCAATGCAGTTATGGAGAGAGCAGCCACCTTAAATGCTGTGCTGAAGACTTTTACTATGGAAAGGTTGCAGTGGTGGAACAAAATATAGGAAAAATTAGAGGAAGTCAAGATTGGGATTTGCAGATGTTATGAAGCACCTCCTCTACCTCCCCATCTTTCATCCTACATAGGAAAAGAGGCTGCTGCCTTTTACAGGATCAGCGCATTGGTCCATGCAGCTACACTAGACATGGTCTCTCCTAGTGGGACCTTCTACATTGAAGCATGTGTTCTATCACTGAGCTATGGCCCTTCTCCCCACCACACAACCAGCCCATTAGCTCCTTGAACGATACTGAACTTATATGCAAATACTATCATTTCGCTGTAACAGTTTTACACCTACATTGCAAAGGTGGGAATCATTACCCAAGGTGCAAAACAATGACAGTGTGAACCTTTCTATTTCCAGCGAGGGAGCAGGAATGCCAGTTGTTATGGTTGCCTGTGTTATCCTGGTAATTCCCTTGTGTCGAAGATAATTCTTCAGGATAAATTGGGAATGGAATGGAATTGCCCCAAGTAGCAAGGGGGTGGGAGAGAGAGAACCCAAGCATTTCTCTTCACCCCAGTCCCCTTCCCCTCCACACAGATGGCGGATCCAGGTTGTAGAAAACAAAGGAGGAATGTCTCCCTCTCCTCTTGCTCAGAGCCCTCAGACAGGTTCAGAGTGTGCAAGAGGAAGCCCAGCCGAACAATACAAGAAGCAAGACACGTTTTAATTTTAGATGCACAGCTGCCTCCGAGTTCTTTAAATATGCTCCTCTTTAAATGCTTTCATGTGCAAGGCTATCTGAAGTGCTGCAGGCAGACTCAAGTCCCTTTCCAAAACTAATCTCTGTTTGGCCTTGTCAAAGGAGCTAAACGGGGTGGGTCAGATGCCTTAGCAGGGGCAAACCGATTCCCCTGGCAGACGCCTCCAGCCAGACTGGTTTCAAGTGATAAGTCAGCATGCCTTCCTTACTGGGCAGTGCATCCCAGCCTCTCACATCTCACATCTATACATTCCCACATATATACACAAACATACAAAACACGGGAAATCACTGCTGCTTCTTGCAGTAGTGCCAATGGGCACCATTATGCTTTTGTATAAGTGTGCAGCTGTATGGAGTGATCAGTACTTTAGCCTGTACTGGCCTGGGTGTTTTTTGGCTGCCTGGAATGCAAGCTACAGACTCTGAGATTTACTGGGAGAAACCTGAGAAATCCAGATCTTCAGCCAGAAACACTTGAGTTTGTGATCATCCTGGATTGTTTTTCCTCTTTCGGCTTCTTCCTTCTTTTTTTTTAGGAAGGTAATTTCTGGTCTTCCAAGGATTTTTGCTGCCATCGTGTGGGAAAGGCCCACAATGCAAATTTTCTTGGGGGTAAATTTCCCCATCTCTTCCACACAGAATGTATGTCATAGATGCATTCATGCATTATGTATGTTTGTATGTCTTATATGGGATTCCCTTCCCTCAAGACAAATAAAGTACCCCCTCACATCAACCAAAGCCATTCACATGGCAAATTACTTCATTAAATTATTTCACTTGCAGTTGCCACAGGGCTTCCTGAAAGGAATTCTAGATTTCCTGGAAGAGTGTAGCTGGGGAAATGTTTGGCAAACAGGATGCATTTACAAGTAGGGACAGGGCAGAAATTTGAAGGTGAACCTACATAATCTGCCATTTCCAAAAGATACCTGAACCAAAACACAGCCATCCTAAATTCACACTGTTCCAGTTTTGCAATGTAATTCTCTAGATGTGTACAAAATTGCATATACCAGGGCAAAATGTGCGTAATCCCAATCCTTGATCATAGAATTGTAGAGTTGGAAGGGACCATGAGGGTCATCTAGTCCAACCTCCTGCAATACAGGACTTTTTTGCCCAATATGGGGCTCAAACCCATGACCCTGTGATTAAGTGACTCCCTGTAGTTACTCAGAGCTTAGGAAAAGCTTATAAGAACATATGATGCCTCATGGATCAGACCAAATACCCAACTAATCAAGCACTCTATTTCCCACAGATGTAAAACATGAAAGCCACAACCCTTTCCCACGCTTGTTCCCTAACAAGTAATATCAGATTCAGGTAGGTAGCCATGTTGGTCTGAAGCAGTCGAAATAAATAAAAAGATTGAAAATAAAAATTGAAAAATAAAAAAATTTAAAAATTGTCCAGTAGCACCTTAAAGACCAACTAAGTTTGTTCTGGCTATAAGCTTTCATGTGCATGCACACTGTGTATCTGAAGAAGTGTGCATGCACACGAAAGCTTATACCCATAACAAACTTAGTTGGTCTCTAAGGTGCTACTGGACAATTTTTCAATTTTTAAAAGTAATATCAGGCATATTTCCTCTCATCATGGCGGTTTGGCTTGGTGAGTAGCCGTTGACAAACCTATTTCCATGAATTTGACTAAACCCTGTTTAAAGCCAAGTATATAAGAAGCCATCACCACATACCATGGCTGCAAATTCTGCATATAAATTACACATTGCTGGAATAAGTACTTTTTTGTCTGATGTGGATACAAACTGGGTTTAATTTGTGGCAGGGCTCCCTAAGGCCCAGATGATGATGGGGAACAGAAGAAACCAATGTAGTGAGTTTCACAGTCACCAGCATATTTTATTTTTTTTTTTAATTCCCAGCTATCTTCTGATTTAGAGTGAAACTCAGCAGACATCCTATTAAGCCAGCAGCATAATGTAAATGGATCTGTAATTACAGTATAGATGACACCTAGTGGTCACTAAACACAATGATAAAGTCTAAATAAAATAAGCCACCTGTGGGTCACTCAAAGTCACTGTCAGAGCAATAAATTCCTAAGAATTTAGTAACACAGAAAGCTGTCTTTCTCTGAGTCAGACCACAGGTCTAGTTAGCATAGTACTGTCTACACGGACTGGAAGTGGCTCGCCAGGATTTTGGACAGGGAGTCCCTCCCAGCCTGACCTGGAGATGCCAGAGACTGAACCAGAAACCTTCTGCATGCAAGACAGATGCTGTATACTTATGGAGCTTCAGTCCATCAGACCAAAAGTTAATACTATCTAGCGTTTTCATCAAACCTCTCCATTCTTAAGGAAATCAGCCCCGAGTCCTCACTGGAAGGACAGATCGTGAAGCTGAGGCTCCAATACTTTGGCCACCTCATGAGAAGAGAAGACTCCCTGGAAAAGACCCTGAAGTTGGGGAAGATTGAGGGCACAAGGAGAAGAGGACAACAGAGGTCGAGATGGTTGGACAGTATTCTCAAAGCTACCAGCATGAGTTTGACCAAACTGCAGGAGGCAGTGGAAGACAGGAGTGCCTGGCGTGCTCTGGTCCATGGGGTCACAAAGAGTCAGACATGACTAAACAACTAAACAACAACAACAACAAAGTGTTTTGATTCCCAGAGTGACTTGTAATATGCTTCAAGCACCCTTACAATCATGGGTAGCTGCAGAAATATTTCCAGGCAAGAGTGAAATAAATACAGTGGTACCTCAGGTTAAGAACTTAATTCGTTCTGGAGGTCCATTCTTAACCTGAAACTGTTCTTAACCTGAAGCACCACTTTAGCTAATGGGGCCTCCCGCTGCCGCCGCATCACCGCTACGCGATTTCTGTTCTCATCCTGAAGCAAAGTTCTTAACCCAAGGTACTATTTCTGGGTTAGCAGAGTCTGTAACCTGAAGCGTCTGTAACCTTAGGTACCACTGTACACCAAACAAACATGACTAGCATGAGAGAATTGGTCTATCATTTCTGGTACGTGTGATGACTAGTGGCCAGGCCTGGGTAGGCAGGGCCTTTAAAAAGCTAGAGTTCTAGGTCTACCCTTCATTGTTTCCCAATGGGTAGATCAGCTGTTTATCCACAGATAAACCTAGCAATCAGACAAAATCCTTCCACTCAAGAGCTCAAACCATCAGTTCTTCTCCTGGCTTCCTCCAATCCTTAATTAACTGCACGGTTGCTACAATCACACACACACACACACACACACACACACACACACGAGTTACACACACCCTGTATTAACCTTGGAGGGGGGCAAACACCAGGAAATTACCCTGGCATATACTATTCTATCTCCCCATTCCAACAAAATGGATATAGGAACAATTGGTTACTTTTCAGGGCTGGTGTAGCTTATGCAATGTCAGCCGCAGCCCTCAATTCCTGCAGTACAATTATTTATAAAAACACATTTAAAACTCTTTCTATACTTTGGTTTTGTACTGAGTTGGATAATTGATAAAATTCATGTTATAGTGAGCCATTGGACTGGGTGAGTTTTGGATTTTGGTGTAAGAGGCAAGAATCCAAATCACTGCTGGGCTCTGAACACCGAACCTGTGACTGTGGGAAAGTCACTCTGCGTACCATTCCTGTGAAAGAGAAGCAATTTAGTGTCCAATTGATTTTAACCCGAAAGGGTCGCAGTGCCGGTGATTTCACAACCAAGAATCCCAAGCCACCTTAAAGATTACCAAATACATTGGGCTTTAAATTTCCCTGAAGCAGAGCCCGCTTCGCCTGAGGCATCAAGCGTTACCATCAGCTAGCAAACAACACTTCCGGTTGTCTACTGAACGTGCGGGATGTGACAGGGCGCCGCAGAGGTAGGGCTAAAGCGGCTTTGCCTTCTGCCCCGCAAATGGTGACATTCAGCTAGAAATCCGGAAGTGAAGTATAATTATTACCCCTACTTTCCTCTATGGTGAGATTCAGCGGAGAAAGGAGGAGGAACGCGAGGCGTGTAGTTCCTGTTGCCGAAATGGCTTTTTAAGGTGGCTCAGCGGTTTCTACTCCATGGTGAGGGGAAAGTGCTGGCTGCTGATCACGAGGCGAAGTGAGCAAACATCACGTCCAGCTCACAGAGAGAGACTGGCGTGGAGGGTCAGTGAGGTGGGAAGTGATGGGAGCAGGCATTTGGGTAAATAAGTCAGGGATGGCTGTAGAAACAGTGGTCCTGGGTAGCAAGCCCGAGTTTGGACGGGGAGAAGCAAGTCTCATAGGGGTTCCTGTGCTCTCTCATAACGTTAGAACTTAAGGACATCCAATGCAACCTTCAGGATTCAGGACAAATAAAGAAAGTACTTCTTCGCTCAGCACATAAACTATGGACATCCCTAGGCTGCAATCCGGCCACGTCTTGTTAGTACATTGGGACAGGCCCGGTTCTCCAAGCCTGCATTTGTTTATTTATGGTATTTTAATACTTTCCATCAGTGAAGTCATCTGATCACTTGCAAGTTCCCACCTAAGATTAATTGCTCACAGGAATCAAAATTCATGGCTGTAACTCAGAACCCCAATGCAAGTTTATTATTTGGAAGTTCAGACCGTGGAATCTTAGGTGCCATAACAAATTTCAGATTTGCTACAGTCGGAATGAATTCAGGAAATCTAATATAAAGCAATCAGCTCCAAACATCAGGTCATTTGGTGCTAAAATCATGTTGGCAGTCCATTTTATTATTTCCGTTTGCCTTTGGCAGCTCCCCTACCCTGGTAAATCTTACTTTCTCCTATTGTCCCTATTAAAAACAAGGAAAAGCTGTCAAACTTCTTTTTGAAAGCTTACCTGCTAAGCCGTTCTGATATCTCTGTTTCTTTCCCTAGCTAGTTTTAATTGTGAATGTATTTCATTTTACTATTCTTCTCAGAGAAGAGAAACGGAACAAAGCAGAAATGAGCAATCTCTATCTCATCAAGACATGCCGCAGGGTTTGGGGGAGGATAACCAAAAAAGATGGGGAAATGGTAACGTATCTCATGCAACAAAAGACCATAGTATTAACAACAAATGTAGAAAGATCAACAAGTACAAGAGGTAATCTCCCCCCACAAAAATACCCCACCATCCCAGTTCAATGCCGAGTAGGCACTGACTGACAGTGGGAGGAATGGAATTGAGATGCCAGATCAAGAAACAAACACTCCACGCTGCCAAACATATATGATCAAATTGCTAACCAACTTTAGTACTAAGTAATTTTTCAAGGATCTCGGGTTTTCCATATTCCATGCAGGGAAATTGTTACAGGGTTACCCAGAAGCGATGAGCACTGGGTCATTTGTTTATTTATTTCACAAATGTATTTAGTGCTCTTTCATTTCAGTTACAGACACCCTCATCTAAAAGCCTGTTGGAAGAAGTGCATCTTTGCTTGTGCTCTTCTGGATAGGCTCTCTGTGTTGGGAATAGTAGCGTAGTGATATGGCGACTCCATTCCTACCTGGACGTCCAATTCCAGAAAGTAGATGTGGGGGACTTCTGCTTGGCCCCATAGCATTTATGCAGTGGGGTCCTGCAGGGTGTTGTTGCTGTTTTCTTAACTCCCGTGATTTTAAACATTTACATGAAACACCAGTGGTATCAAATCATATGGGAAACAGCCTTATTGGAAAAACTAACCAATAAACTGAAACTGACATGGGAACAAATGGAAGAAGACACCTTCACCCAGGTATGGTTACCCTTTATCACATACACAGCCCAACAAGACAAGAGTCTGCCAACAGCATACGAATCAATCTGGCTAACCTGATTCAAAAATACACACCCACAAGCCCACTCACACACAAAAAGAATTCTCACTACAGCCAACCAAAAACCAACTACACCCTAAGCCATCCCGAACCTCTTTCACCACCAAGGAAATACAACAAGTGAATAGCAAGACAACCCATACAAGTAATGCTGACACAACCCCCCCACACACTTAGAATAATAGAAACACAACTCACCTGACCTCACCCCACTCACCATTCTCCATTTCCCCTTTTTCCTTCCTTTTCTTTATTTTTATTTTTCTTCTTCTTCCTAATTGTTTAAACAAATTCATGAACCAAGAACTTATACATTGATCACTAATAATGAAACATATGTTGCTCCAGAGAAGCGGACACGGAGCAATGGATCCAAACCACAAGAAAGAAGATTCCACCTAAACATTAGGAAGAACTTCCTGACAGTAAGAGCTGTTCGACAGTGGAATTTGCTGCCAAGGAGTGTGATGGAGTCTCCTTCTTTGGAGGTCTTTAAGCAGAGGCTTGACAACCATATGTCAGGAGTGCTCTGATGGTGTTTCCTGCTTGGCAGGGCGTTGGACTCGATGGCCCTAGTGGTCTCTTCCAACTCTATGATTCTATGATTCTATGAGATATTTTCCCAAATTTATTATGCTAATTTTTCTGTTATACTTTGGAGACATCATTTGAGGATTTGGAGCAAGGTGCCATCAGTATGTTCACAACACCCAGCTCTGTGTGTGTCTCTATTGGATTCAGCTGAGGCAGTGGAAATCCTGCGCTGG